GGATAAAATAATCTGAAAGACTGAGTCATCCAAAGTTACTGAGTTAGAGACTGTCTAAAATAAATTCTGGACCTTATAGAGTTGACCAGAATGGATTAACTTTATTTTTCCCTCCTGCAACTCAGCAGGGTTGAGGGCATTGTGAGAAAGATCAGATCAATTATAGAAAACAGAGGAGGCATGCTATTGCACATCTGAGTGTGATATGAGTGAATTTTGTGACCCAGCTACAGGAGTTCAAATTTTATCCTGATAATAGCAGGGAGCCACTGAAGAATTTTTGAGCAGAGGAGTAATGTGATCATATCTAGAAACTGGACAAATGATTTGGGCTGCTAGGTGGAAATGTGTAGTGAAGACATTTGAGAGCAAAGACAAGGTCTGAGGATGTAGCTCAGTGACACTGCGCCTGCTTGGCAAATGCAAGGTCCTGAGTTCAATCCCCGATATGGGGAGTGGGGCAAAGACAAGAAGTAAAGAAGAGAGGCTGAAGTGATGGTGGGAAACAGAAGGGAAGGGAGCAGGAGAGTATTGACTTTTGGGAGCTACAGCTGGCAGAACTAAATATACTTAGAGGGGAAAGGAGGTAAGGGGAGGGGGAAATCTGGGAACTCTGGCTAGTGGCCGGGGATGCTGTAATGCCGTTTACTGTGATGAAAGATACATGAGAGTGAGTTTCATCAGGGTACTTGGGCAAGGGAAACCTGCATTTCTTTTGCATTTCTTCTGGAAATGCTGAATTTGAGGTCTGAGTAGGACACCCAAGTGGAGATGTTCTGTAGGCACTTGAATTAACAGATCTGAGCTTCAGGGGAGAGGCCAAGGCTAAAGATAACATTTTGTAAGTTACTAGCCACAAAATGATACTTTAGCCAGAAAACTGGATGAGCTCACCCAGAGAGAATGAGAGCTGGTTTAAGCAAAAGAAGATACATTTGAAATCAGATACTGAAATCCAAAGACAGGGATGCCTGAACTGGAACTAAGAATTTCAGAAGCCATCAGGGATCTCACCCCATCTCTCCTATGTTATTTTCTGCCTGTTTCCTTATTTGCCTCCCCTGCCCTAAGCCCCAGCCACTTCCACCTCCAGGCTGGCTTCCAAAATGGTCAATATGGTCCATATGTTGAAAATCATGACTTCAAACAGTTCCAAATATTAAAATCTTATTTGTCTAAGCATCTGAAGAGACTGGTGGTGGTGGCATCTGTGCTGCTGGTGGAGCTTTTGGATGCAGTTTGCAAATTCCTCAGAAAGTACTCTGATCAGCTCAATTTAGATGCTTCACTTTGGACTAATCAGCAGTGGTTAAAGAATGAAGATCAAATTAGTTAACATGCTCTCCATGATATAGTTGGATTCCAAGAGAAGAGAGGTTACAAATAAGCAAAATGGCAGGTGTTCGCTACAGGCCACCATTTTGGGGCATATATGTATCACAAACTTCATTCTTTCCATCATCTTGGTCACAAACCAAGTTGGAAGAGGACTGAATGAAATTCAGTGGTTAGGTTTAATGTTGACCTTATGGAGAAGTTTGATTTGGTTCTCATCCAGTTCAGTTTGCAACCAGAACCATGGAAAGAATTGAGTTCGTGAACCACTGTATATGATTCCAAAAATGCCTTCACCTACTGCTTCAGCTTGTATCCAAATGTCCTCCAAAGGTCTGTGTGTTAAAGGCTGGGTCCCTGACTTGGCACTATTGGGAGGTGGTAGAAACTAAGTAGGGCCCAGTGGGAGGTTTTAGGTCATTGTAGGTTGCTCCTGAAGGAAACTGGGGGACTGTGAGACTCTGGTGTCTCTCCCTCTCCCTGTCTCCCCTTTCTCTCTCTCCCTCCCACAACCCACCCCCAGACAAGGTCTCGCTATGTAGTTCAGGCTGGCCTTGAACTCACTGTGTATTCCAGGCTAGCTTTGAACTCACACTGATCCTCCTGTCTCAACCTCCCAAGTGTTGGGATTGTAGCCACCACACACAGCTTCTCCTTTTTGCTTATCCTGGCCTTGAAGTGGGTGGTTGGGCTCCACCATACACTGCCCCTGCTGATCTGCTGCCTTACCGCAGGCCCAGAAACAACCAGGCCAACCAGTTGTGGACTGAAACCTCCAGATCTGTGAGCCAAAACTAAGCTTTTCCCTTTATAAGTTGATTGTCTCCAGTACTTGTTACAGTAATGAAAAGCTGCCTAACATACCTACATAATCCAAACATCCCACTGTGCATATGTCAATAAATTCACTGCCTTTCCAATGAGGGGCGACTCAATGGTATGTCCAGAAGTTACTTCCAGAAGTTATGTCATAGGACCACTGTTCTTCGAATGTAGGTTCTCTGGGTAATGTCTCACTCATCATGCTCTAGTTAGGTCTTTGTCAGGTGTGAATATGGTTTCTAAGTCCTACTACCTGTTAACTGCTATAGTTTGCTACAGTCCACCTTTTCTTGCCCAATACATACATTTCATTATATGTATATAATAATAATAATAATAATATACTATATATTACATATAATATATATTTTTTCACAAACTTAATTCTTTCCATGATTCTGGTCAGAAACCAAGTTGGACCAGGGCCAAATCAAATTCAGTGGGATTCATTTAACTGTCTTGGGACTACCTTCAAGCAATCCCCTTCTCCAAAATGAGTCCTGATATCTAGAGATGGGAGTAAAAGAAAATAAAAAGCAAGCATTGTACATTGGTCACAAATTGGCAGCATCATCTATGCTTTTTTGGCCATGAATAATAATGAAAATGGTGGGACTAGAAAACCTCATGGCATCTGTTTGTTGACTCATTTCTTTGGCTGGGAAGTTCCTCTGTCAGCCAATCTGACAGGTTTTGCCCACAGTGGTAAGATCCCTTATCCAGTGATCTGAAAGGTCCATGTGAAGAAGTTCTTTGTATGCCACTAGTGGTATTAGCGCTACACTTTCTGGTGGTGTCTTCATCGGATTGAGCAATCATAGATCTCTGCATTTATGAGGACTGCAAGAGAACTGCCCCCCATAATACAGTTCTTCTGGTGTGTGTGCTGGGAATAGAAACAGAGAGCCTGGTGCATGGATACAATTGGATACAATTCTCTTAATACCATAATCAGCTGCCTATCAATTTCATTTGTGGGACTTTCATTTGCTAATAACATATTTCATTGATTCTAAGGCGCATTTTTTTTCCAGC